CCAGCCTCAAGGGCAGCAAGCGCCGCAAATCCCTGCCCCCCGTGCACCAGGACATCACTGGTGTGTGCCCACGGCCTCCTCAGGGCCTCACTGGGTTACCCCAAATTAAAACCTGCCCGTAGCCCCCTGGGAGGTGGCCTGGGAGGCCCAGGGATCTGAGGGTCAGTGGAGATGCTGCACTGAAGCTTCTGCTCAGGAGGATTTTGCAGCTTCTGCCTTTTTATTCCCCAAGTCCTGATCCTTAAATGTGACTTGTCCTCTTTCTTTTCCCCCTTTTTCTTCCTTTCTTTTTCCTCATTTTCTCCTTTTCTTTTTCCCATTTTTCTCCCTTTCTTCTCGCCTTTTTTCTCCCTTTCTCTGTCTCCCTTTTCTCCCTTTCTTTCTCCCATTTTGCTCCCTTTCCCCTGCTCCTTCTGTATCCTGCACCCCTCATTCCTGTCCAACAACAGCTTTTGGGAACTTCTGAGCTCATCCCAACCCTTTTCTGTGAATTTAATTATTCCTAACCAACTTTATTCTGATTTTTCAGAGCTAAGCAAATCCATCAGCCTGGACCTGCCTGAGAGCGAGCGTCTCTCCATGCTCATCCTCTCCTGTTTCCAGGTGTTTGTTTTTTTTTTTTAGTGATTTATTTTCCCTTTTTCTCCCCAAATGCACGTTGGGTTCACATCACTGGCTCCTCAAACAGGGGGGATTCCTTTCTCCTCCCACAAACTTCGTTATAAACGGGGATAAAAGCTGACTTCCCTTTGTTGGGAGATGGGGATAAAAGCTGACCTTCCCTATTTTCCTTGGATAAAACCTGTTTTCTCCCTTTTTTCCCCAGTTTACTGCCCAGAAGCTCGAGCAGGTCCTGAGGCAGAGGAAGGGATTCAGCCCTGAGGCTTTTGCTGCCAAGGGTGAGCTGGGACTGTTGCATCAGAAAGGGTCACTTCAGACTCAAAACCAGGGATTCTTCCCTGGGATCCCCTCACAGTTAGGATTATCTGACTCCTGGAAGGGGTGGGCGCCCCGAAAATTTGGGAATTAAGTTTTTTCAAGAGCAGGAAACGGAGCCACGAACGGAGGCGCCGAGACGGGCGGTGACCTCGGGGGTTTGGTTATTCCTTCCTTAATTCCTTAAAACCAACGGAATCAGGAGCTTGGAGTGGCTTCTGGGGAGGCTCAGGGCAGGGCCTGGGGGGTTCTGGCTGTCCTGGTTTTCCAGAGCGGAGTTTGATCCCGGTTCTTCCCTGGTTTCCCACTCAGGGCAGGGCCTGGGGGGTTCTGGCTGTCCCGGTTTTCCAGAGTGGGGTTTGATCCCGGTTCTTCCCTGGTTTCCCCGCAGTGCAGGCGCTGTCGGCGGAGCTGGAGCGGTTGGTGCAGAGGCTGAACCAGGACGGGACCCTCCGGGACTGTGTGGAGGATCCTGAGGGGTGAGGGCTCGTCCTGGGGGCAGGGGCAGGTCGGATTTTGGGGAAAACCCCTTCATTAAAGGTTCCCCCAGCCCTGGCACAGGCCGAGCAGGGCCAGGGGTGGGAGTTGTGTCCCCCTGACATGGAGCCAACTCTCTCCCTGTGCTTCAGGAATCCCCTGGACTCGGCTCTGGATGAACCCGTGGCCCAGGTGAAGCAGCACATGGCCAGGTAAGGCACACCTGCCCCACAGAGGGGGGCATTTATTCCCAGGGGGATTCCAGGGGTGTTTTCTTGGGAGCGTAGAGGGAACCAGCCAAGACACACCTGGAGTGCAAAGGAACACCTGGGACACACCTGGATGCAGAGGGCACACCTGGACACACCTGGGGCACACCTGGGCACACACCTGGGGCACACCTTGACACACCTGGTCACCCCTGTCCCCCCCATTCCTCCCTGTCCCCCGCAGGTTCTCTGCCGAGCGCCAGGCCTGGGACCAGCTCCTGCAGCAGCACCAGGACAGAGCCCAGGAGGCCGCCAGGTGAG